TCTCTCTCTCTCTCTCTCTCTCTCTCTCTCTCTCTCTCTCTCTCTCTCTTTCTCTGTCTCTCTCTGTGCTTCTTTCCTACCCCTTCCCCCTGCCCCAGGTCGTGTGTCAACGGTGATTCAATATTGACTGATGACTATATTTGACGGATCTGTTATGGTCCTTATGGAGCTCCTGAACGAGCCTCGAATCCTCGATAGGCTGCTCAGCCGCTGCTGTATCACATATATTAATCCAGATTACCTTTGAAAAACAAACCTTTTTCTCCTCTGGGTCGATCAGTGAAGCCCGGACTAACGTTTATAAAAGACTAGAATTAATGCACTGTCTTGTTAGCAATGAACACCGTAAAAACCTTCTGTATACTACTATACTCAGTTCCTTCCACCATCCTTGTGGGGAACTTGTGGCTGAATCGTATCCTGTTTAAATAACTAAATGTTAATAAAAAGGTCAAGAGCTCACGTTCTGATAGATACAATAATCTGCCTTTCGGCCTTAGGCTAGCCCCTTGGACAGGAAAAAAAAAAAAAAAAAAGAAGAAGAAGAAGAAGAAGAAGAGTATCTTGCACGGTTAAGAAGTGAGTCTCTGTTATTCCTCTCGTCCTCTCCTACTCTCGTCCTGTCCTAGTAAAAAAAAAAAGAAAAAAAAAAAAGAAAACCCGGCTTTGCATAACAACCCGCCCGCTCGATATAATCTCGACTGTCCTGGAGAAGAAGCACCCTTGGCTACCTGCTCGTCTTTAACCGAATAGAATGACCGGTCGTTAATCGATGTACCTGAAGTTACAAGCGTCCCAGATACAGCTACGGCTATATTGACCGGGCGTTATATTCGGGTGAAGACGGTAGTTCGTGATAGTCTTCTTGCTCCACAGGTCCGAGATGGGAAGCCCCCCAAAAATAAGAAAAAAGGAAAAAAAACATCGAGAACTGCTTTGCCGTTGAAAAAAAAAAAAAAAAAAGGAAGATTTTTCGGGCCCTCATAATAAAGGGAACCAATCACGGGCTAGGGGGCCCCAATCAGCAAACATTAAGGAGGCACCTTCAAAAGCTTGGGGCTGAAAAACACAACGAATTCTAGCTGCTGAGCTCAAAGGACCACAATCTGCAAGCCCTAAGGAGGCCTCTTTTACAAAGCTTCGGGCCGGAACAAAAAAAAAAAAAAAAAAAGCTGCAAGTTCTAACCTACAAAGTTACGAAGTACAACAGGGCCTCGCCGCACGGCACACGAAACGAAAAACGAAACGAGTGCATCTTCCCGCAGAAAATGGCCAGGTTCATCCGTTTGCAATGAATAGTAACGAGTGTATGTTGCCACCTTCTGTGGGCAGATGCACTCGTTTCGTTTTCGTTTCGTGCGCCGTGGGGCGAGGCCCTAACACTACAACTTCGTTTATGAAAACTGTGTCCAAATTTGGTATGTGCTGAGTTATAATATATAACGCGCCACGAAAGTCAGAGCAGGTGAAAAAAGAAAAAAAAAAAAGAAAAAAACAGAGTTTTCAGCAGCCTAGGTGTTGCTCCCCAGCAATAGGGCGTCGCCGCACGGCACACGAAACGAAAAACGAAACGAGTGCATCTTCCTGCAGAGAATGGCCAGGTTCATCGGTTTGCTATAAATAGTAACGAGTGTATTTTGCCATCTTTCGTGGGCAGATGCACTCGTTTCGTTTTCGTTTCGTGTGCCGTGTGGCGAGGCGGTCGAGGCCCATAGATTGGAGCCTTCAACATGGGACCCTACGCTGGGGGGATGGTCTTATCACACACAAAGCACACCTAAAACTGTAGGGCCCTAGACCGAAGTTTCAGGAGGGGAAAAAAAAAAAAAAAAAAAAAAACATGCAATGCATATCTTTTTATTTTTTTTATTTTTTTTTAAACAACCCGAGCGGGTGCTAGGGGTGCATATCTTAAAAGGAAGATCATTGAGGAAGCAGAACAAAAAATGGGTGTACTGCATTAAGGAAAAAAAAAGGGTGTGCCAACTGGCACAGCCCAGTTGGTACACCAGAGAGCTCTTGATAATACAAGTGCGAATCCAGATGCAATCAGAAAAGGACGGGAAAAAAAAAAAAAAAAAAAGGGTGCGAAAAAAAAAAGAAGGTTTTAGGGCCAAAGGCTTAGGGAAGGCGTAGCCCCGGTGGGCCCTCTCTGAGGCCCCCTCCCCGTCCTCCCTCTCTCCACCCTACAAAATTGAAACGACTAGGACACATTAGCTCTATGTCTGTGCTAACTTGAACGTTTTAGGACTCGGCAGCACGGGTGCTCTGTTTCCCCTTGGAAAGCAAGAACGTGGCCATTTCTTCGACCAGGTTCGTACTTACGAAGCGTGGATATCGCACGTCGTGGGCCAGGCCCTCAGATTAGCACGCTGGTGGCCATTGGCCAAATCTGGATTTTTTTTATTTTTTTTTTTCGCATTAAATTTTGTGAAAAGCATAGGTGGGGCCTGCTCTTAAGTAGTATGACTCCGGACTCAGGAGCTATGTAGGAGGCTTCTGACCCACCTAATCAAGCAATATTATTATTATTATTATTATTATTATTGTGATTATTGTTATTATGAATAATGATTAATTTTTTATTTATTCAATTTTCTCCCTTTCGATGAAGCCGATTACTGTAGAGTCGGTGTGTAGACAAAAGCAAGGCGGGACCACAAACAGAAGTGCGGGCA